GGGGNGGGGGGGGGGAGGGACGGCGGCGGCGAACGCTGGCTGGCGAACTCGAGACTCTGTTAAAGACGCGGGCCGAAAAGCGGCGCGTATCGCATTACGGGGACGCTAAACTGCCGAGCCGAGTGATCAATCGGGGGACGTTAACGCGGTGGACGGTGCCGCTCCCGTACTCGACACAGATTCGCGACGCACGAGACTTGGAAATCCGGTGACGAACGGTTCCGAGACACACTCGTTGGGCAGCCGACGAACTGGCTGGCGAAAGGTTGGACGAGGCTAAAGTGCTAGTTTAACGGGACGCGAGAGGGTGCCACCGGTCACTTTTGCAACGCCTTCCCTTCCTTCGCGAGTTGAGTTTCGAAACTTCGCCGCTGGCTGTCGCGAGAAACGCACGTCCGTGTGGCCAATTTTGCAGCCAATCAACTTGCGGCTTCTACGAAAGAGCAGCAATTCTGTTGGCTACACGGTTACTCGAGGCACTTGGACAAAATGCTTTCTGCACTAATTGGACAAGGATTACTGCACGACGATTGTTTCTACCTACTCCCCGGTCCTGTCCTGTCGTGAGCACAGCGGTTGATTGGTTATGAGCGCAAAATGCCATGTGCTTCGTTTGGAAAGTAGAGGATAAAAGTATAAAAGGACTCGAGTGTATATCGCGTGTGTATATATAATTTTTAACCGAATATAGTATGTAACTTTAAAAACGCTACTCACGTGTACGAGTGCCAAGATGCAATTGATATTGTCCGAAAACTCCGATCTGATGGATACGAGCGTTATCGAGCTCAACGATTCACCTGTGAAGAGTGTGAAGAAGAAGGGCGGTGGAAATGTGCCGGTGAAGAAGAAAGGAGGTATGATTGTGAAGAGGAAAGGCGACGGTGGTATGATCGTGAAGAGGAAAGGCGGCGGAAGTATAATTGATCAACGCCCGCTCTTTTCTAGCGATGGAGAGTAAGTTTACAATATTTCAAGGTGTCTGTTCAAGTTTTATATTTCATTTCTCTTCGAGGTTTTTTTTTTTTTTTTTTCAATCGACTCGTTAATACGCAGTTACGTCGGTGTGCAATTAATGGATATTCTTGTCTTTCAGAACTCTGCACATAGTATGGAAGAATGTCATAAGGGTGTACAGCACGCAGACGGGAGACTTTGTGCGGGAGTTCGAGCCCTTGGATTATAGAATCACTGGGATAATAGCGCATCCAGATAACGCCAGCGTTATTGTCGGCTGTACCGAAAACGGCGAACTGTACTTCTGGAATTGCCAAAGCGGCATTATCACTAGGAAATTGGTAAAGAGAAACATTATTCTGCTCGTTATTCCTTTTACTTTTAAATATCTTCGATACCACACTGGGATTATATAGTACATAATATGCTCGTTCAAATTTTCAATTTATTTACATATATTTGTACTAGTTCTTTCTTTGTTAATTTTCTTTTGTTTTTTTAATCGACTCTGCTTGTTCTTGCAAAAGGTAGGAAGCATTAAAGAAATAATGTATAAATTCAAATTTTTAATTTATTTACATATTTATACTGGTTTTTAAAATCAACTCTGCTTGTTATTGGATAGATTGTTGCAAAGATTAGAATCATTAAAGTAATAATAGAGATATATATTGTTGGTATTTTTGCAGCAATTAAAATCTCTAGCACAGGACATGGCAAAAATTAAAACCTTTCACATTGTAAAATACAGGACGGCTCAAGGAAACGAAATATGCCAAGCACTAATAACACATTTCTCTGGTTGTGGAAAAAGGATATATGTACTTTTATTTGATATAGAAACTGGAATATGCATAAAATCAATATACATCTTGTAAGAAATTACAAAACATTTTTTTTCCATTTTGAAAAATCAAATTTTGTTTGATAGTCAATAAATGATTTATAATTATTTTTTTTAGCACCAAAACCCAAGAGTATTATGTTGATATAATTGGGAATCATGGAGAGAATTTAATAGCACTTTTACATGACGTGGATTTACACATATTTAATCCAGCCAGAAATTTAGTCGATAAAATGTAAGATATTTTGAGATTGTCATATTTATATATAGTATAATATTTATTTGTGTGTATTTGGAAAGTAACTGCACATTTTAAATATTTAATCTAAATATAGACACAAGACTGGGAAAACTGGTAGACTACCTAGTTGCATAGCGGGACATCCGGAAGAAGAATGTGTTGCCACAGGGGATTCTACAGGTCGTGTATTGGTGTGGAGAAATTTATTCCAGACTAGACCGTACACAGCTGTTTTCCACTGGCACACATTACCGGTCACGGAAATAGTGTTTAGCAAATCAGGTAATAGAATGTTGAAGATTTATCTCATATTCACAAGGTACCCTTCACGAGGCAATAATTTAGTATGGCAAACATGTGTATATATAACATTTGTTTATTTTACAGGTGGCCATATGTATACAGGCGGTGGTGAATGCGTATTAGTAAAATGGACTCTAGCAAATCCTCAATATAAATCGTTCCTTCCACGATTACCGGCGCCTGTCAAACATCTCACTATCGCGCCGGATAATTTATACGTTGCTGTATCGACGTTAGACAATGGTAAAATTTTTCTCTCGTGAAAGTTCAAATTAACAGCAGTATTTATGATGGCTAATCATATTCCGACTGTAACAGGTATTGTTATTGTAAATCCCCAAAGAAAATTGACATCAGTGATACAAAACTTTACATGGGGTGTTGCTTCGTCGTCCAAAGATCTGTTTCCTGCGGGACTTGTTGTCGACCCGAGAACGAGTAGCCTCGTTCTAAATAGTCGTACTGGACACGTACAGTTTTACAACATTCATACAAAAAATCTGTTGTACAACGTGAGTAAAACGTTTGTTACATTAAAAGCGATATGAAAAGAAAATTCGAAATAAATGAAGAAATAGTAAAACTTTGACGAAAAATTTTTCAGATTAATATAACTGCTCAAAATTTTCTGTCCCAAGAACGCGACGTAATTATTGTAAATACGGAAGTTACGAAAATAGCTCTAAATCATAATGGTACCTGGATGGCAACAGTCGAAGAACGAAATGATAAGGTTTCGTCTATAGAAGTTAGATTAAAATTCTGGCTCTACGATCTGAAAAAGCAAATGTAAATATATATATAAATGTTATATTTGTTATTTGTTAATTAGACTAACACTGCAATATTAATATATAATTGTTTTAACATTCTGTAGATTTGTATTAAATACATCCATCGAACTACCTCACGAGAATGGAGTGAACGCGTTACATTTTCAACCAGACACGATCTTTGATGATGGTGATTGGTTAGCAGTAACCACTGGGAAAGATAATAAATTTAAATTATGGAATTTGGGGAAATCTTCCACCGTAGAAAGTACATACATCTAATTGTCTGTTTTGCGTAATAAAATAGCTTTCGCGGTATACGTACATCACTATTTGATATATAATTATATTTGTTATAGACAAAGAGACAAGACATTGGTATTGTTATGGTGTGGGAGACTATCGCAATCTAGCCGCTACAGACGCGGGTTTTTCAATGGATGGCTCGTTACTAGCTGTTGGCTTTAATTCTACCTTAACTTTATGGATGCCTGAAACTTGCGAGTTAAAATCCAGTCTTACGCATTCTCAGTATAACCATCCAATAACGTAAGTCCAAGAAAAATATATCCTGTAACTATCAATGAGAATATGTTCGTAGCTAAATAAATAGTAAAATCACTGTTTACAAATGCATGCAGGCGAATAGAATTCGGCAAACACGAGGCCTGTCACCTCGTTGTAGTCGTGTCTCAGCAGCACATAACAGTTTGGAATATTTTAACTCTCGCTATAACATGGAGCGTACCCTTGAACGTCGTGAGTCTCACGTGTGACTTAAAATCTACATACATGGCAGCATTTACATCTGACAATTCACGTATGTTGTACAGTATATAAATGCCTCTTCTCATCACATAAATATTATTAATCTTATTGCTAAAGGAATAATCATTTGGAACTTTATCTTAATATGTATAGTAATATATGTACTGTTTTTTTTGTCATAACAATCTTGCATAACATTCACGTTATTGTATTTTCTTATCTTTTTTATCTTATTTTATTATTATGCTCTTAACGTGAAGATTATTCGCTTGTTTTTAATATACATGTTTTTTAATTAATATACGTGTTTTTTTTAGTATACGTATTTACGCCACAGAGTGCAACGCTCGTTTATAAGAAAACATGCCTTATCGAAAGTACCAGTTCTATATTGGCGGCTACTTTTGTGCCTCATCTCCAGGAAAAACGTAATTCTTCCTTTGGCCAATGGCAACGAAAGTCGCAACTATTCTTCTTGGATTCGAATCAGGTGTGTTTTAGATTGAATAAATTTACGTCTAATTGTGCGGTGTTTGAATTAATTTTAGATATAAGTATATTTATATTATATTAGCTATTATTGTACTCTGTTTAGGAATTGCTCACACTGGAGCCAGAATCTGAAGCGAGTGTTTCTTTAGAGATTATTTCGGACAAAGGAACCATGCCATTGACCGCCTTCTCCAACTTTATAGCGGCTCAAACGTCTTCGAGTAAAGAGCAGACTGTCGCACAAGTTCACGAACATCTTGGCATACCAGCGAAAGGAATGGTACAAGAAGTAGGTAGAATTTTGAATTTCGAAATTTGTTTTGTGCAAAGATTCCTTCAAGTCGCACACTTTATGTAAAAATTTTCTGAAGCTGAAATTTGATTTTATTTAAAACAAATATAATTAAAATTAATTTGAAATGGTAATCTATAATCTTTTGTTATGCAATGATTCAATTGAAATATTTGCGACTTTTAGGATTCTTAATTAATTCTTTAGCCATATTCTTACACAATTGGTATGCCAATACTATTTACGAAAACTTTTGTTTATTTGGATAATATAAGAAAATTTCATTATATGTGAGATCAATTTTACATTAAGTAAACAGAGACAAATTGCAAAATAAATAAGAATTACTAATCTAAAGTAATATAAAATGAATATAAAACGAATAAGAAAAGAATAATTTATACATATTCTATAAGAGATAATATAAAAAATTGTCTCAATATTTCATTTTGTAAATCTTGTGTAAAATTTAGATTTAATAGATCTATATATAAAGTTTTCAACACGAGAATAGAATTCTCCGTGTTGAAAACTTTATATATATATGGATACAAAGACGAAGATTTATTAATGAAAAAAAAAATATTGAGTATGATATTTCTCTTATCATGATTGTCAGTCGCGCTTAATTTCTTCAACAGAATAACATTCTAAATTATTTTTGCTTTCTAAAATAAATGCTTTTAAATGTGGATGTCTCTATATAATTTAATTGAAACTATAGAATTTAAATAAACTTAAACTTATTTATTTGAACGGGTTGAAACGGTATGTTCTGCACGATCGGACGACGGAATTTGCCGTAAAGTATCATTGCCGTTCGTGGATCGTATTGAATGTCCATTTGTCAGTGTCTTCTTCCTAAGCGATAATTCCGACAGCGACGAACGAAATCGAACTTTCTATAACGGAGACAATGCCATTGCGGAATCTGCCTCATGTTCTCGATCGCCTGCAAGTTATATAGCTTAAACAGAATTATTAAGATTATTGAACGAAAAGCCGGAAAAATTAGCCGGCCCTCCAGACATAGTAATAAACATTAATAAAAGTGCGGAAACGAGGACAAAAGAAATTATTCATCGCAATTAGATCGACCGTATTAATCGGAATCAGGTCGAATCAGCTACTGAGAAGGTTAAAAGTCATTGAGATCTTGGCGAAAGTCTTCCTGTTTACAAGTATCACGTACCACCTACGGCTCAATGTGGTTGGACACATCATCGCACTCTCGAACAAATAAAGATTGGTTTAACGAGGAACGTTCAATGACCAACGTACACTCGTACTTTCGACATTACCACGATACAACCCACGTGCTTGCAATGGAGAAAAATATATGTGAGTCGCATTTCTTATAATTGGCTATATCAGCGAGAAAAGGGGAACTCTCTCTATGCTCGTGTATCGTTCGCGTGTTGCGCACCAGCGAAATCGGGGGTAAATCCGCATAATTTTCTCAACTATATCATTCTCAATATTGCTATCGGCTCCACTTAACGACGAGATATCGCATCAACAAAGACACTTACTGCTTCGCTGTTGCTGGCGGGATATCCGAGGGCGATCGCCGCGAGGAGTAGCGTTGTAAACAGGCACGACACCAATTTCAACGCGGTCAGCTTCATTCTCTCGAAACCGGCTCCTTTTTTTTCCGGCGAGATGCCCAGGAAGGTATCGACTCTGGATTTTTTCCGAAACTTTCTCCCAGTTCTCTCCAGTCTGTTCCAGCGTCTTCTCGGCCAATGATTACAATCGGATCGCTCTTCGAGCTCTCGCCGAACGGTTTCTTCCTTCGGCGAAAAAAAAAAAAACAACGCGAATTAATCCAAATGTTCGCAACAAAATTTGACCACAGAGTTACGTCGAGCCGTTTTACCCAGCCTTTGTCAACACGATTGATTGTACGATGAGATTGACAAATCGACACGATTCAACGCGGACAATTTAAATAAACGTGACGGAGTCTGACGGAGGTGGCGCGCGGAAATGTATTTGATGGTCCTTGCGGCAGCCGGCGGGCAGATCCTTCATGTGTATTCCAACGCTCCGCGAACGACTGGCTTCCAGCAGAAGTCTCGCCATGATTTAATATAGAGACTCCCACCCTCTCACGGCGTTCCAGTTGTCCCTTTAGGACGGCTGGACAACAGGCAAACTTCGCTGGAAATCCTGCGCCTCTCTCACGTCACAGTCGTCGTTACTGCGAGGCTCTATCGCTTCGACGCATAGTACAGCATCTATTCATATGTGCATTCTTATTCGTATATCTATATATTTTAGTTTATTTTGACGGCGCGAGCTATCAGTCGTCTTGTCGTTTCTTCGTGTGGGCGGAAAGTTGGCCTGGCAAATTGAACGGTAGCGAGGTAGAAGTTGTATTGGAAAAAGGCAGAGATAAGGGCAAATGTAACCGTGCATCGCGCATTCGTATCGGATAATTAATTCATCGTCGCCGAAAATAAACTCGAGAACCACATCTCGTCGAGGAATTTATCGAAAATAGTTACGCGCGAGACGTAACGTTCCGCTGCTATCGGAAACGAAACGTGTTAAAAGTAGACTTCGCGTGTCGCCATTCATCCCCCGGTGATAAACGTGCAGAATGTACCATTTTGATTTCAAGTGCGTGCCCTTGAATACGATTGACCTTGAGTAAGGGATCGTTGAACTCGTTACGACGTGCGCGCTGCAACGCGAGATGCATTCCACCTTAATTAAAGCATTTTATTTAGGAATCTATTGGGGAAAATATTTCGTGATAAAATATGTCGTTAAAAAAAAAATGAAATATAATGAAACATTCGACATGGCTTTATCTCGGAACAAAATTAATTTCGTTACAAAATTTGCCGTTTAAAAATTATCCGACATAAAAATATGACGAAGCTTGCGTCTCGCGCTTAATTTTCAAAGTATTTCACCGCATCGATTACAATAGGAACAGCGCGATGCGAAAATAGCGAACGACGCTGTCGCAGAATTGTCTGGGATTGCTTGCAAATGTAAAACCAGGCCAGCAGGAACAAAGTCTTATCTCCTTCACCGACCGTCTCGATTGTTGCGATTGATGCCTACTAATAAAATGCCACACCGGTACAGAGGGCAAAGTTTAGATCAATCTGTCTCATTGACACACCGCTATCAACATTTCGTTATTTTACGATCACGATGTGCCTCTAATTCTTTAAATTTCTTTAAAAGAATTAAAATTTATTGATATTACATTTTGTTTGCCGCCGCATCTTACGACATTTATTTTAATTGTTTTACTTATTTGAAATTGATTTCTTATTTTATTTTTCTTTATTCTATTTATATTCTTACTATTCGCGCGTTGATAATGATTTTAATATTTATTTACAATTCTGTGACGTTTAATTATAGCATGTTAAAATATTCGCACTAAGTATTTCCTTCTACGCTAAAAATAGCATTTTTGCACTCAAAATAAATTAGGATATCTTCTTTTCTACATATTGTTATACGCAAGTACTTTAATTATGACTGCGTCACATCACGAACGTCAGACTTTACACTCGGTAATTGTCCTAATTGTAGTGATAATAAATTACATTCTCTGGCCATCTCGGCTGTTTTTCGTGTGAACAACTTCGCGGATATTGTCGTCGTAAAATTCTCTGAAATTGACCGAAGTTATTCGGTCGACAGTGCGTCATCCTATAAAAGTGGGAAATGCGGGAATAGTACAAATATGGCCAAATACATTGTATTGTCAGCAATATAATTATTGCCACTAATAAGAGATGAATTAAAATATTTTTCCTTACAGTGTTAAAAAAGAATGTATCGATATTACTGCATAATTTTACGAATTTTTGCCTGTACTGGAAATTGTAAAAGACTCAATTATTAAGCAATATCCGCTTCAAACTGCATATAGCATTCTAATAATTTACGTAGTTATATTTAAATTTATAATGTAGTTGACGAATTTTTTATTTAAAGCTAGTATTTATTTATCTGGAAAGAAAGCCGTTGTACGTAATGACAATTAATAAATTTGCGATTCAACAAGCGGATGAAATTATCGATGCAATTAAAGTGTATTTTAAGTTTTTACATATTAATACACATACATGCGCGTTCGTCGCTAAAGTGCGGAGAATATTCGTGTGGGTTGCAACAGACGAGTCAACCTAGATCTGAAGTAGAAGATTGCAGGAATTGCACAAATTTCACTTGGAGGTGTGCTGTGTGTCAGCTCTAAAACTAATTAGCCGGTCGTCCGACCGACCGATTATCACAAGTGCCACACACAAGTGTGGTGGCAAACATAACTTTTGAACTTAGCTGTCGCGATAGCCAATATGCGTTCCATTTAAATGTCTACGTCCGTACATATTTATTGGACCGATGATTTCGCAGAACGTATATATTCGCTTACGGTCGCTCGAAATTAATTAATATTCTTGTTTTTACAGTTACTTAGCGTGCCCGCTCACACTTTGCCGCCGATGAGACTGCTGTGCACGTCATTCATTTTGTCGCTGGCGGGGCAACAACCCTTGAAAAGTTATTCCAGAAATGCCGAAGACTTTAGGTATGTATATAGAGTCAACAATTGTGTAAGTCGACAATTGTTATCGTGCTTTGCTATTTCGCTTCACGTGAATGAACGTCGTGTATTGATTTTTTTTAAATAATTTTCAGAGACGACGACGACAACGATGCTCGGGACAATGCTTCAGACGTGAGTGACGACGAGGCATTACCGCCGACGAAACCCGCGGTCACGCCGACGAACGAGAAGGAGGATATGGACGAGGATGCAAACGTCGAACTTACCAGCCACGATTGGTCCTTCCTCTCCACTGTCCTTCCCGATTAAGACCATATTCCTTGATTAGCGTGAAAATTGCCGTGCGAACTACGACGGTAAGATCATAAAATTATCAATTTAACGAACACATCCCTCGAAATATATGAAAGATGTACAGAGTATGTTGATGAAACATCAATAAAAGATTTGGATGTGCGTGTGAATCGACTATATATATAAAACATATATCTGACTTTTTAAGTTGGTTTTGGCAATTGATCGATTCGCGAGGCGAGCTCGGCGAGCTCGACGACAGCCTCGCTGATTCTTCTCTTGTAGACTGGGCTTTTCTCCATGTTCGCCAGGACGAATTCCTTCCTGTTCGTGAAATAGTACTCGACGTAGGACGTCGGATTGTTCATGACCCGCGCGCTGAGAGCTTCGTCCATTAGAACCGTAGGAAAGTAGATTATTGCGGTGACGAGGGCGGCCAGACGTTGCTCCTCCATACCCTCGATCAGCTCTGACCAGGGAGGTAACTGCGCCCGGTTTTCGTGTAGGTTCAGAGTCTCGCGCAACGCGTCGTGATAATGACGCAACATCGTGCTCTCCCAGGTCTCGCGGAAGCTCCGGTCCGTGCACAGGTACAAGAACTGCGCCACGTCATGGGCCAGGGGGGAGTATCTCAACAGCTGGAAGTCCACCAGCAAGCACTTGGGCGGCGCGTCGTCGTCGAAGAGAAGATTGTTGCCCCAGAGATCCCCGTGGCTGACCACGTTCGTCTTCGTGCGCGACGGCTCCATAGCGCGATACACCTGCTCGCAGGCCGATCGTATCAGGCCGGGATCGCGTCCCAGACGCTCGGCTATGACCGCGGCCACGTCGACGCCCGATTCGAACCACTGTCGCGTCTGTCCCGCGCGAAGGAAGCCTTTCTCCGCGAAAGCGTCGGGATACAGCCGATTGAGGGACGTGCCGAGACGAGTCTCCGCCAGCAGCGAGGCCGCGTGCATTCGCGCGAGAGCGCTTAGACCCGCGCGCACGAGCGTTTTGTCGAACAGCTTGTCGCGTATCGAGTAGCCCTTGCCGTTCAGTTCCTCGAAGACCATCGAGTCCCTCTTCGCTTTGTAGCATATCGGCGCCCACGGCTCCCCGCGGTATCCCTCGCGGAGCAGCGGCATTATGACGCTATAAAATCTTGTCTCCTTGTAGAAGACGCCCTTCTTTATCACGTATTCCGCTTGATCGGGCACTTCGTACGGCACGGCCTTGAGAAAGAACGAGAGAGCGACCGTTTCCTTTTTCCTCATGGCTATTACATCGAGCCGATAATGAGAGCCGAGATACCCGAGCTTGCCATTGGAGTACGGTCGAATAGCGTATTCTATTAGGTCGGCGTCGCTGCTCAGCGCGCGCTTCGCCACCTCCTTCACATCGTCGAAAGAGAGCAACTTGTCAATATCGTTATTCTCGGTGACATCGATGGTTTCCATTTCGCGCGAGATACTCCTTTATCCGTATCCGGGATAACGACAACCGTATTCTTTCCGTAAACGATACTTTCGAGTAATTGAGGAGTATCAGGGACAATCAGCTCGTCTTTATATACCTGTCTTTATATACTGCATCGGCGATGCATCGTATTTACTAATTTATCAACCCGATTCCCCTTGCATATATGTGTAAAGTAACATATTTCCATCAAGATATCCTCCGATAAAAGCTTTCGTCATATGACATTTTCAAAGTGATACAACAAAGACGACATATAAATTACGACATTAAAGTTATTCGCTTCTATGTACACTATTGTACATATACGTTTACGTTCTTATTTGATACTAAAATGTATCATTTGCCTATCATTTGCATTTGATTCTTGAAGATTGCATCATGCGACGAACGAATGGCCAGTATATCGTCTTAAAGAGAATACCGCGGTCACCACGAAAAGGCCGAAAGCACTTCTGATAGAACCTGAAAATGTATTTAAATGTCCGCTACTATAGTCCTTCCAATCCTTAATTTCATATATATGCACAAATACGATTTGGAATTTCAGAAATTTAGAACTACTTCTACGAGAATATTTTTAGTCTGCCGTTAAGACCTGCTTTTATACCTGTGGTAAATCTTCACGTTCGTTCGCCGATAAGGCATCGGCGTGAAAGTGTCATAGTGTTTGATCAAAATTTGCATCAGACTTATATCACAACGCTGTAAATATCTGCCGTCGTGAAATCCAGGCGTGCAAAATCCCAAAATCTTATTTTATCTCATGCCGTTTGACATCCTTCACTTTGCATTTGATAATTGTTGAGCGCACAAGGAAAGAATGGTTCGCTGATCTAAAAATTTATATAGCTAGATATTGAAGTATAACAATAATAATATTATAACAAATTGGAGTATTATATAGATACAAATTGGGAATAATTTTGTTGGACCATCAAAACAATTATATAGAACGTTTGAGTATGGTGATAATGTAAACGAAAAGTTTTGACATCCTAGCAAGTAGTTAAGCGTTCTATAAAATTGTCCAATAAATTGACAGTACAAATTAACAGTAACATAATAATATTATAATTTCCTACTTAACATTATAACTGTTACGTATAACATGTGTCATATTACGCTTATATTGAATGAAAAATTATACTGTTTTACATTATTCTTGGTTGATGTTTACTGTATAATTTTGTAGAACGCTTAAACTGATTGCTAGAATGTCAAAACTTTTCGCAGCATTAATACCATGCTCGCGCGTTCTACATAATTATTTCGATGATCTAACAAAATTACTTTCAAATCTGTATTTAGCTAAATTTTTAGATATTTTAACCAAACCGTTCTTTTCGTGTACGTATAATAAAAAGTATTCTCTCTATCTTTGAAATGAAATCGAAAGAAATTGGAGAATCAATAAAATGTTCATTTGTTTTGGCTATTAACAACGAATCCTTATTTCTTTGTATTGTATGTACTTAATCAATTTTAAACATTACGAAACAAACAAGAACGAAGCGACGATTAATTAGCGATCGCATGACAAGACAGAGGCTCGACTCGTTCGTGACGATGTCGATGACAAGATTGCCGTGCTTTACGGTGCGGCTGACAAAAAAGCGCGGCACTCCTCCTTGACCTGCATGTAGCAAATTCGTCGTCGGACAATATCCCACGCGTGTTTCTCGAATGGCGGCTGAAATTCAACGCCATTCCGCACCCTTTCATGAATGACTCATTTTCGTCTGCACGTAAAGCGCGAACGGAATAAGATTACGGCGTAGGATTACGCTCTCCTCTCTTTGAGCTATTTCTGACGAAAATAAAGATTGAGACGTAAGTCGAATGTAAGGGGAGAGTGGCAGAATTAACGAAATTACACATACACCGAGAAGCGTAAATTGGAACAGTGAAACGTAAAAGAGACGTTTACCTCTTAATACTCTTCTTTTATGTCCCACTATTTCAATTTACGCTTCCCAGTAATTTCGTTTATACTTCTATCACTTCTCCTTTATATTCGACTTACTCTCCTATTTTCATTTTCCTCAAGATTGATCGAGATTCTTCGTCTTCAACTCTAATCGACGTAAAATTAAGCTGGAGTTTTCGTAGATGCGACCTTCGAAGTTTCCTCTTTCGGATACTTCATGCCATCTCTTATCTTTCGAAACGACTTTCCAAGAATTTGTAAGTTTTGAAGATTCTAATTTTGCAATTTTAACTTTCGAAATTGTGATTAACGGCGAGGTTCCGTCTATTCAAATATATACATATATATAATATCGATTATTTCAAACGAGTCTGCATTTACGATTACCAATAAAACGGTTACAATTGCCGGCGTATGATATTTTAAATATTTTTCTCTTGGATTAGAATATATATACGATATATATTCCGAAATCTATTTTAGAAATTTATTTTATAAAATATACATATGTAATATACAGGATGGATGAGTGACGTAAAAGATTTTAAGAAGTGACTCCTTTACACAAATTCAAAACGAAAACTTCATATGACCATATGTCCAAAATAGCTAATTAGTGATACAGAATTTTGAAAACCACTCAGATTATTTTAATGAAACTTAGAACATACATAAAGGTTCATCAAAAAATAATCGTGTAATTTTTGAAATTTTTGGAAAAAAGTAAAATTTTTTCTTTAATTTTGACTGTATCTTTAAAACTGAGGTTTCGGACATAATATGAATTTTTTTTGTCTTGAATTTATGTAAGGATCAATTATCCCGTAAAATCTTTTATTACTTAGTATCCATTCTGTACATTCTAAAATAAATTCTGAAATATATATGCAATATATATTTTAAAACTGTCATGTAATACACATGGCATTAATCTCGGATTATTAATTACTCAAATGGAGCATGTTTTGCGTTATATTCGATAAATTTTTTTATTAAAAGAAGGAATTACATGTGGCTTTTGAATGAAATTTATGTCGGAGACCTCTCGTTGCGACGGCATGTATTCGTACGATTAAAATCAATGAATTCTAGCTCGGTGAGCATGTCGGCAGTCGGTTATGCTGTAAATTGTAAGCCTTGTGGAAGTTACCTAAATTACCGTCAGCGAGCACACGCGTGCACGTTGTGATCACATTTGCGATCGATCGTATGTATGTACACCTGACCGCGCGAACCAACCGATTAGAAAGAACTTTATCCACAATATAACATAGTCGACTCCGAAAATTTATTTAATTGACTGATTAAATGTCTCTCACGAGACTGAATGCTTCCTCACGTGCATCTCGATCCAATCTTTGAATAGCGGATCAGAAAGACAGTAAGATAATTCCGAATATTTAATAAGAATACAGAAGGGAGGGAGACAAGTGCGACATCTGACGCGATAAAGATTATCGTTGAGTTACTATCTGTTTTATATTATTTCCGCGGTGCATCCAATGTTTAATCAAGTGCGACATACGACGGTGTATATTTTGGCTGGAAAAGTACAAATAACTTTCAGGCTCGTTTCATCCCGACTCAGTCTCGGTTCAAGCGGTATGATATGCAAGAAAAACAGACTGACTGAATTCTCATCTTGGTTGGTGAAATTAATTGTTAAATTAAATTATTATTAAATTCGACGAGAGAAAGAGAGAGATATCGAGTTGACGCCGTTTTTCTAGCGCAAATGTCGGATGTAAATTTTCGCGCTTTTATCTTACGTTTATATTTTACGTGAAATTTTTAGTCTTGCGATTCTGTAATTTTCCATGTGACATAAATTCGCTCGTTGTTCCGCCAGGATGACAATCGTTGCGGACGTTTCTACCTCGAGTAACGACAAAAATCGCGTCGGCAACGCGCGACTGCTTTGCCGCCATTGTTTCGCATTACCGCAAATTGATTTAGAGCGATTTAGGAGCGTGATTTCTGAAAAACGCCTCGGGATATCGCAGGCTTTAATGGCCCGAGCATAAAAAGTTGGAGTAAATGTGGCTATAGGAAAAACAAAGCTTTAACGGTACCAATCCAGTACCGTCTCTTACGTAACTGCACTCCATTTCTTTTAGATACATTTTATTTGCTTTCTTTTCTCCTCTCCGGTTGTAAAGTACTGCACGAGTACACACGGAGTGTCTCTTAAAAGGATGCTGTATCATTGAGGGGGAATGATTTTGATGGGAATTCCGGACGGATATGATCTCGAAAAAATATTCAACTAATTGTATTTTAATTGTACTCGACGAGATATATGTATATACGTTGTGAAAAAGAGCGGCCGCTAAACAGGTAACAAAGCGTATCATTGCGTGACGTCACCCGGTGAATCCTCGACATTCCATCATTTTCCGGTGGAACGAGAGCCAATTTGCTGCGCACTTTGAATATTAGTTCACGCAACCGTGCGCGCGGATACCGATGATTCTATAAACCCGCTAAACTTGCGAGGGAGTACTTGGAGCTTATATAGCGAAAAGGTACTTCGCGGAACTTTAATTATTGCCGGGAGACATTCCGGAGCGGCTGACGCGCGTTTCGCGAAGTGTATTTGGCGTAATTGCGCCACCATATTGCGATATTGCAGCGTTCTCGATATTCGAATTTTAGTTTTGCCACGAATTTAGTTCCGCAACGTCAGGCGCGCAGACAACATTCCTTAAGCCCCATCTACATAAGTCGCAAACGCGCAACGCAAATGCAAACTCGGAGAAAAAAAAAGAACAAAACGTCAAAAAAAAAAAAAAAAAAAGAAAGAGAGAAATGTCCGCGTTTGCTTTTGCGTTTTGCGTTTGCGACTTATGTAGATAGGGCTTTACTGAACCCCGTTTTCTGTAATTAATACAACGAAAAACGACTCGCTTGAAATGAGAAATAATGAGTCATTCGTCAATAAAGTACTCGGTACGAGCCGAGAATTATAATTCGCGCGCGCTCGCGTATTTCTTCATCGCAACGTGCTTAATCCTCTCAAACAGAAGATCTCCCCGCGAGAGTTGATCGAGAGAAAGTTTGCCGGCCCAACCCCTTCGGGGGCTGTTTTGCCCGGCGACGGCGAGGGCGTCGTCGTCGTCGTCGTTCATCGTCGTCGACGTCCTGCCGGCGTCGGCGGGGGCTATTGTGCCGCCAGTTCCTCAGCCAGCGGTGGCGGCGCGCGCACTTCGAGTCACGCTTTGGTTCGCGCCCGCTCTCGAGAAGGAGTTTAGTAGCAGCTGCGCGTCCGCGTGCCACGCGGAACTCGTTGGGTGCGTGTATTTTGCCATTCGGTTTATGTGACCGTCGGGTCGCCGGGTGAAGCCTATATACGTACGCCGATACGCCGTTCCCTTAATTCGCGTGCGACGAATGAAGGGGGGCGCGGGACGACGACGACGACGACGACGAAGGGCGGACGGGCGGGCGCGCGCCGTCTGAACTTTGCCGCGAGTTGCCGCGCGCGCGGTGGAACTCGCGCGAACGCGGCCGCGAGTGCGAGGGCGGCGGAGAGTGTTGTACTAACAATAAGTACGCGCGCGCGCGCGCGCGAGAACGGACGCGTCGTTAATGCGTTAACGCGCGCGTCAATCGCGTTTCGAGGATACGCGCGCGACGGACCTCGATCTCTCATCGTCGGCGGCGATCTGGGGAAAAAAAAGGTGCGGAGGCGAAGGACGAGACACCACGTGTGCGTCCGCGACACGACATACGCTTGTTATCGCGCGTACGCACACACGCGGCCGGGAAACGCGCGGGACAGCGTGAGAGAGTTAAAGTTCAACCGAGCGGAAGGACTCAAGATACGCCACTCGTAACGGGTTTGCCATTTTCCTCTTGGCCGCTCCATCGGGGACGAAAAGCCCTTTATCGTCGAGGTAATCCTTTCTTTTTTTTCTTTAGTAAGGTTATAATGTTCGCACGCGCGAGGAACCGTGGTTTTTTTGCGCCACCGCAACTCGAACGTTGCAAAAAGTCTTATCAGACACCGCGGCAGTCTCGGCGCGAAATAATTATATCAATTCGCCCTAACGAGTTTGATCTACTTCGATTTATGTCGTCATTTACGTAACGAACGCGTATGACATTAACATTCGCCTGTGCAGTGTGCTTCTTTTTCCATTTCTGGGCATCGATCATGTAAATAACTTTTTCCCCAAGACGGAAACGTGAAAAATGATAACACCGACGAACACGCTATTAAAGATTAAAGATACCTTTAATAGTGTCCCGTCGGTGTTTTCAATTTTCACGTTTCCGCCCTAAAGAAAAAGTTACATCGATACCTCGATCGATATAGTGACTGAATTTGTTGAATTGGCTGGTAACAATATAATATATCGTTCTTGCTTCGCGAAGCGCGCCCCAACTTCTCGCGGTAAAAGATCGCGCGCGGCCGAAGCTTCGTGTGAACGGTGAAAATTATTAACGTCTGCGAATTCAAGCGTTCGCCGTCGAGTTTGGCGGACGAGGAAGTACGCGAAGTATTTCGCCCATAATAATGGGGGCAATCGATCTTTGCCGGAGAAATTCGAGAAATTAAATCTGCGCGAGGGAGGGAGGTCTCCCTGCGCCGTGCCGAGCGCTTAAATTAGTCGAACGATTAAAGATTAGGGAGTCAAGGAGGATCACCTCGAGTGTCTCCTCGGGAATAATTAGAGTCCCGCGGGAGACTCGCCTCGTCAGGAACTCGAGCTGTTCCCCTTAGCAAGTTTAAAGGGTTTGCGGGGGGGGGGGAGGGGGGAAAGAAGGATCGTCGTAAACGGGTGTCGGCAGGGCGGGCTAACTAATATTCAAAGTGCGGTAAATCGCGCGGGATCGATCGGGACTTATATACCGCGCCGGGAAAACGACCCACGCGTACGTCCCGCCGCGCCGTGCTGTTGATCGCGATCGAACGCGATTCGGCACGGCCGATTAGCACGCGAGGGGGACGCTTTGCTGATCCGATCGCATTTACGATTCCCGTGCATTCCGGCGACACGTACGATAACAGACACGCCCACGGGAGAGCGGATCCCGACCCGACCTGGCCTGGCACGGGCGGACGTGATGGTCATCGCGCCGACCGCAGAAACGAACATTCGTCCGCAGCTCGCGTAGGGCTGCCATAGCCGCGTACGTCCCTGGTGAGTACGTGTCCTTGCCGCGTGGATGAAATTATTCAAATGGTATAGCCACGGTGCAATTGCTGTGCGAAATACGTGCAGTGCTGCACGGCGGCGCGGCGGCCGCTCTCTCGCGGAGAGATACGGGCGCGAGATACGGAGCGTCGTTCGCTCCGAGGATTCGCGATTCGATCACGTCGAATCGGACCTGTCCGTCAGGTTTATCGAGAGGGGGTGGGGGAGGGATCTGCCCAGGTCCCGCGCGCTAATCTCGATGATTTAAGCTGGAAACCAAACAGCCATCGGACGCGCCCTCGAACACGTCTGTAACGTTTATGCAAGACCATCCGACATGTCGATGCTTGAGATCTCCACGTGCGCTTTAGGAGAGAGTCTTAACAATAATTCTTATACGGATCGCCCGAAGCCAGACGCGACCGCGGCACTTGAAATATGTTTGCGAAACATACAAATGGGATCTGTCGAACCCCCAATTCTCTTCCCCTCTTCATGCACGCTACGAGAGTCTTAATAAATCTTCTCATCAGAATCGAACGACTGACTGCACGAGATACCCTCTGCTTGTAGGAGTTCATGCCAAATTAGCTCGTGATAACTGCCTTCCCTGCGGCCTTTCGATAATTATCGCGTGGGTGTGCTGAAACTTCAACTTAGATTTCCTCAATTTAGAAGAACGTGTTTTAAAGTTTCTTTTTTCGATAAATTATATAGGAGGGGAGAGATCTTAATAATGATCAACAACCTGGAAATGTCAGGATCATTAAGAATTAACTGATTACCTCTTCAGTTCTCGGAAACAATGGCTTACCTTGTCTTATACTTTAACGCGCAACTTTAGAGCCGTCATTAGAGCTGTTTTTTTTTATTTACGACGCAGATACAACTTCGGAAGAAACAAACTTCTAAAATCGCAAGATTTGTTTGTATTACACTCACAAAGAATGCTTTAACGTTCATATTTGTGTTTACGTTATCGCGTCGCATTCATATTTCACGTGGTGATATACCTAATTCGGTAATTTCCGAAATATGAAAAAATGAAACGTCCGCGTTTAATGTGAAGATCGCGTGTTATTTAACGTTGAAGTAAAATGCAAATTTAATGCGTAGAATAACTGCGAATACATATAGAAAGCCAAGGGATTAAATGGATCTTCATTAAAATGTCGTCAATCAAAATGTTGTCGCACGCGGGTGCCGGTTTTTCCAAATTTAACCGTTTCGCCGGTATAGGAAATACGATACATTTTCGCTGATGTTGGTGGCTTTTGGACCACATATTTTGCTCAACGTTATCAATTTTTATGTAACGCGACCGTGCCCGAGTCCACGAGTTTGCATGTTTTCACGTGATAATAGAATAAGCTCGCACACACCATAAATCATGATTTAACACCTTAATTTATATTCGTATCATACATTTAGCGCTTAAATGCGGTTATATCTGCTGTTCGATCCGACATAATAACGCGCCGCGGCAGATACGATCTTCATATAA